GGGGGGGGGGGCAGGAAGCCGGACCCGGGGTGCTGGCGAGCGGGGAAGCGTTCCTGCCGCACGGACTCGCTGGCGGCAGCTTCGGGCCTGCAGCTCCCGAGGTCCTCCCGTGAGATGCTGGGCACTGAGTGAGATGCTGGGGACCGAGCTCCGAAACCGGCTCCCGCAGCCCCCGCCGGGCCGCCCTTCCGCCGGCGGAAAACAATCCCAGGCGAGGGAGTGCCGGCCGCCGCTTTCGCTTTCGCTTCCCCTCGGGCCGGGCTCTGCGCAGCGCGGCCAGCAGGGGGCGCTCGACACCGCAGACGCCGCGCCAGCACCTGCCCCAGCGAGCCTCTCGCCCGTAGCAACCGTTACTCTAATGGAAAACCGCAATTTCTAAAAATTGTCACTAAGTAGAATAAAGCTATGTCAAGAATTGGGATGCTTTGTAATTGGAGAACCACTGGGTTGTCTTACGTGGAGGTCTTACTACCTCAAGCTCTGCAACTGTTTTGAGAAGTGCCCTCTTCCCCCGCCCAAGCTCCAGTTTTAGGGTCTTGGGGTAAAAACAGCCAAGTTCCGAGGGAGAAACATGGGGTCTCCTAAACAGAAGGCAGCAGGCACTCTCACGGGGGCCGAGTGGGTTTCCACTTACAGATTCTGGGCTGAAGAGGCCCTGACCCTTTATTTGTCCTCTGCACNAAGGCCCTGACCCTTTATTTGGCCTCAGCACTGCGCCTGGAGCAGGGCACGTGTTCAGATGCCTCCAAATGCGTGCCCCAGATTATGTCGGGCAGCTTCCGCACCTGAGGGATGGACTTGGTTTCCTGNCCCAAATTATGTCGGGCAGCTTCCGCACCTGAGGGATGGACTTGGTTTCCTGGTCTAACACCGGCTGGAACAGCGATGGGTGCTCCAGGTCCTGCCTGGCCCAGAGCCTCCCATGGGGCAGGCACGCTGGCTGGTTTCAGGAACGGCTCTTCCGGTTGAAACTACCTCCCAAGCTCAACGTATCCTCAGAGGTGATGACTGGGTTTCCCCGGCACCCTTTTGAACCGTTCCTGGTACGGCTACCAATGAGCCACTTCAAACTGAAAGCAATGGGGGAGGGGAGAAATTTACAGTGGAGGATTACTCGCCTGGCCGGGCCTGGCTCAGCGGTTAAGCATCGACCTAGGATCCAGGCGATCGGGGTTCGATTCCCTGTCAGGGCACATGCCTGGGTTGCGGGCTGCAGCGGATCAATGACTTTCTCATCACTGATGTTTCTATCTCTCTCTCTCCCTCTCCTTTCCTCTCTCTGAAATCAATAAAGATATATTTTAAAAAATAAAATAAAATAAAATAAAATAAAATAAAATAAAATAAAATAAAATAAAGTGGAGGATTACTAAAATTTCTCCAACCCCGTGCGTTCTGGGATTTTAAGCATCTTGCCCTAATGAAGAAAGCTTCATGCTCAGCTGCGTCCTGCTTTCAAGTTTTTCCTTCAGCGATGTCCTTTGAGTGGTGGCACTGTCCATATTCTTTCCTGCACTTCCAGCATGAGCCAGAAGACTTCAGCATGTCTTCTCGTTTTCCTGACCTCCTTACTTTTCCCTCATAGCCCCCACTTGAGGCGTCTTCCTGTCTCTTTCTCTTCAGTCATGGCCCTGTCATCCTGCAATGGAGCCTTACACATCATGAAACTGAGCCCCTAACGTCCGTCTTCACATTCAATACCCGGCGTCTCCAATACCCAATTTCAGGTCGGCGGTACCGTGTTTACAGTTACCACATGCATTCAAGGTGGAAGCTTTTCCATCTAACACTGTAAGTTCAAACTCAGTTGCTCTAGGTGCCCTAACCTAAATTAAATTGCAAATATGTATCCACAGGTAACAAAAATCAGGCTTCCCGAGGTCCTGGAGAGATGTGTGTGGAAGTGATAGGGGGAAGGACATGTAGCAAGAATAGAGACACAGGTGTTTAATAAGTATTCACCTTACTAACTGTAGATAAGAGGTTTTTCACAGGCCCTGGGAAACTGGAGGCTGAAACCAGGCTATAAAAAGATAAGATGCCTCGGTGGGCCCACCACTCAGAAAAGAAATACATTTTGAGAACAGACCCACCACTCAGAAAAGAAATACATTTTGAGAACAGACCAAGGACAGGACTCGCTTTGATTTGGCTGCTGTGCCCGGACCCTGACCCCCTCTGGGAGTCGGCCTCAGGAATGGTGACCATTCTCCGGCCCAGGAACGGGCTGAGCCGTTTGTAACATCACCGAGGATTAGCCACCTGGTTACTGGACTTCGAGCTCCTGAAGGCCCGACTGCAGCCCTGCCCCTCCCCTTCTCTGTCACACTTGCAGCTGCAGCTGCAGAGTCATCCTCTCCCTCACTGGCGTGTAAGCAGCCAGCCGGCGAGGGAGTCAGAGCAGAGTTTCCAGGCTGGCCGGCTGTCTCCCATACTGCCGGCGTTATTGGAATAAACGCTCACAGACGATTCAACCCTGTCTCTGCTAAATTTGGCTCAAGTGGTGACAGGCAGNTACTGCCGGCGTTATTGGAATAAACGCTCACAGACGATTCAACCCTGTCTCTGCTAAATTTGGCTCAAGCGGTGACAGGCAGCCTTGGACCCCTTGTGTCTGGTTTCAGAAAGAACATCCAGGAGAAATATTTGGTGAGGCTGTTTCTTAGGTGGGCATTTGATCTGTCTTCTCAGGAAAAGCTCTTCTTTATTTCCTGTCTCCCCTCCCCCAGTCCCCACAGCCCCAAGCCCGCTCAGCCACAAAGCAGAGGCTTTATAACCGTTTCCTTTATTGTACCCGGGTGGCTGAGGTGGGGGGAATGGTCCCTGAAATGGAGAACATACAAAGAATAAAGTCTGCCCCAACCCCGCTGGCCGCCGGTTCCCTATCTCTGGGCTCACAGTGAGCCCCCTTTCTTTCTCCTGCTGGGTAAGCTGGCTCAGGTCCCTGAGCGGCGGGCTTTCCCGGAGGAGCCTGCCCAGCTGCGGCCAGTTACTGAGTGCCCTCCCGGTACTGGTGCATCAGGTCACTGACGTCCGTGCTTTCCACTTTCACCCAACCGTCTTCCTTCATGTGGTACACTGTGGGCAAACGAGAAAGAACATGGAGTCCCCTTCACTTGGGCAAGTCCCATTAACGAGATTATGGTGAAGGCCGGGACAGCGCACACCACAGCCGTTACTGGGACGTCAGCACCCCTCTGCTGCCTCCGAAAACCTCCTCCCCGCCACTGTGCCTCCCCCAGTGCCCCAACGCCAAATCCCCCTTCCCGGCCCAGGGCTGCCGAGTGGGAGTGGTGGTCTCTTACTATTGACGAAGCCTCCAGAATAGCTGTCTCGGTGGGTGGCATGGACAATAGCCCTGCGGCCCAGGTCATAGGCCTCTTCAACGCTAAGACTGGGCCGGTAGCCACTATCCATGATCCCATAGGCAAAGCTTCGCCCACTACCGGTGGAGAACATGCTTCCTGAGAGCCGAGTCCCATTCTCATCCACATAGTAGAGTCCAGGACCCTAATGGACGCAAGCAGGGCCCAGGTTAGAATGGAGAGGCAGTTCTTGGTCACACACAGTTTTGTGTGACCCATAAAAATTGGACAAAAGAATAAGAATTTACCACACGAATATTTGAGCTTGGAATATCGGAGACTGTTACTTTAGTAACAATCATAGAGCTTTAGAGAGGGGAGGAACAAACGTGAAATCAGCTCTTTTTCCTGACTGGGCCTGGCTCAGCCGCGGGACGTCGGCCTAGGATCCAGGAGACTGAGGTCCGATTCCCAGTCGGGGCACGTGCAGGAGGCTGCCAATTGCTGATGTTTCTCTCTCGTTGATGTTTCTATCTCTCTATCTTTCTCCCTTCCTCTCTCTCTCTTAAAAAAAGGACAAGCTTATGAAACAACGGTCCACATCTGGACCCAGAAGTGACCGTGGATATGGAGGAACTGCCCGCGTGTCTTGTCAGGGAGTGGAAGTGTGCGGTGGGGAGCTGATCTCTCGTCAGCAGTGGGGGACAGAGAGAAGGAGCACCCACCTTCTTGTCCCAGCCGCAGATCATGCTGCCCATGGAGAGGCCCATGCCCCGGTACTGGCACATCATGTTGGAGAGCAGTTTGGAGGCCGCTGACACCGAGATCCGCTCCCCATTCCGCAGGTAGTACAGTCTGGGTGAGGACAGGGCGGTGGGGGGAGAGCTTAGAGGCGGCAGCCGGCTGGCCCTCTGAGGGGCCCAGAGAGAGGGGTGGGCAGGAAGTGATTAAAGAGATAAGCATTTGAAGGGAATGGTTTTGTAGGACCTAAGGATCAGGGAGAGGTTTGAAATTTAAAGTATCTAAGCCACCTTTTTAAAACAGTAACAATGATGCTATCCCACCAGGATTGATGGTATCAGTGCTTAAGTAATTGACAAATTATCTGGCTTATTGACAGGAACAGAACTGAGATTTGGGGGAAGGTCATCACCAAAAGGCTATTTTGTGAAATACTCCTTTAGCGCCAGGATGCTGCATTAGTTCAGGGGGGCGGGTGAGGAGCCGTGATCTGGAGAACCCAGCACCCAGAGCTGACCGGCTCCTTAGCGGGGAGGGGAGAGGCCTGGCCCACCTGCACTCCTTGGCCAGCAGGCGCTCCCAGTACTGACAGTCGGCCGCACACCCAGACATGGTGCCAAGCAGGTAAGGGTTGATCTCGATCACCTTGTTCACCTTTAAGGTGGCTGGGAGAAGATGGCGCCTTGAGAGAAGAGGAATGGCCCCCCCTCCCCAGCTCTCCCCAGTGTCCTAGGTCAGCATCAGCTGGGGCTCTGTGCAGAGGCTGGGGTCCCGCGGAGAGCAGGGCGCAGCTCCCCGAGCTGGCTGCAGGAACAGGACTCACCGATGTAACTCCCAGCCGAGGCCCGAGAGTCCACGGCCACGATCACCCCGTGCTGGAACTTGAAGGCCAGCGTGGTCGTGCCATGAGCCAGCTCAATCTGAACGCGCCTCTCTCCGCTGCCACCCAGGGCCTGGAGGAACTCGGGGGGCTAGTCCGGGGGAAGGGCAGAGAGGGCAGTGAGGCCTCCGGGCGGGGCTGGCGGAGGCCCGTGGAGAGCCCCTGGCGAGGGCGCCGAGGCTCGGGCGGGAAGCGCAGGCCCGCGACGCCAGCCCTTCCCACTTCCCAGCGCGCGGAAAGGAAACGGGTGCCCCCGCAACCCGCAGCGTCAAGGGTGACTTCCACGTTGTCTCAGTAACAGGTCATTTAACCCTCACAAAACACGTGCATCACTCGTATCCGCATTTTACAAAAGAGGCCCAAAATCTAGTCTAAGTGATTTGATCCAAGACACAC